AGCTGAAAAAACTGTTTTATTATTCATCAAAAATTGGGTCCAGATATTTCCTAGAGTGCCAAGGTGTAGTAAGATGTATCAAATTAATTTACTGAGCACTGTTACTACTTAGTTTAAAGGTGAGATGAACCTGATAGTTTATTATCTCCAACATATTTTCACTGTAAATATAACGTATAAGTGGACACTGACACTTAAACAGAACCAAGGATAAACTTTTCTTGAAAATAAGCATATAAAATAATAGTCCAGACTGCACTGGAGAATTATCATCACAGAGATCAAAATCATCTCTAATTTCACCCATGTCTACAGGCTATTATGTACTACATCAGTCTTTAAAATGGCCTTGCATGAGATTTAAATGGAGCATTGAACTTATACAGACCTTTGGCATAGGGATAGAGTATCCTCACTGCTTGTTTTCCTTATCCACCAATTATTATTGTAAATAATTATTTTGTATATTACTCATATTGCTGAAGCAGCTCATAATCCCCCAATGGACTGTGGCCCCAATGTGCTGTGGGCTGTACAAAGCAAAACAACCTTAGAAACATATTTTGTCTCTTGGATTGTAATCTTTTGGGGGCAGGAAATTTATTTTCTATTCTGCTTAACATAATGGTGTTTTCAGCTGATATGCATCCAAGCATGGTGGCAATATACATGTTTGATCATAACAACAACTTACAGAAAATAGGAGTAACTGATTGCAAAGCTTCAGCAGAAGAGTCAAACTGGTGCAAAATAACCTTTCTAACTGAGCGGGTTGCCTTGCTCATTTGTTTTCTGAGGTTTCTGAAAACAGGACTGATGAAATCAGTGGGACATACAGGACAGGAGTTTAAAATAGGACTGTCCGTGGAAAAATTGTATTATCACCCTATTTATAGCACAGTTAACATATTATTTAGGTTATTAAGCATTGAACTGCTTCTTTTTTGGCCATCATTCCATGTATAGTGAATACAACCAGTTTCTCATGTGGTATTGTCACATGTATATTCCAGCTAACCTGGAAGACATACCTGAAAAACTCAAATTCACTAACAAACAATATGAACATCCAAGGAAAAAAATGTGCCTGGCCAGTGATATATATTCATTGAGTTACTTATCGGAAGAATTAAGAGTCCAAAGCTGTCCTTGAGTATTTAATAATGCCCACAGAATTCAGCATTTTGCTACAACTTGCCACTGTGCACATGGTACATATACCATGGCCTTTCTGAGTATGAGGCATTTTAACATGTCAGAGCCCCTGCTATTCAGAGGAAAGCAGAAGACTCCATGAAGTTCTGTAAGGTACTTGCTGTGCCATCACACTGAAATGCACCTGAATACTTTTGTGATGGGTCCTAAGGTAAACCCTTACATAGCTAGAGAGAAAGTAAAATCAGATGCTAAGAAATACTGACCCCCAAATTCTTATGTTAGAATTAGAAGAATACTAAGATTTTATTTGTCCCTGAGCAATTTATAATGTGTCATCCTTGAGAATCCCACCCTTGAAAAATAGAATAGTTTGCATCTATCCCTAATATCCATCAGAGATGTCCTGTTCTTGCTTTCTCTTTTTCTTTACCAGCATTTCTCAGTGTTCCCTTTCCACTGATATTTGTGTAGGGGCATGTATACATGAGACATTTGCTGTGGAGCTGACTAATTAGCTCCACAGTAAAGCCTCAACTTCTATATATGCAGCCCTGTTAAGTTGCAGTAAACTAATAAATGCTGCCATAGGATAGTATGAGTAAACACAAGTTCTATCCTGCAGTAGTGTTATTTAGTGCACCACAGTGCACATATAGACACTGATGGGGCTGGCTGGGGTACCTGGGTGCTACATTACACAGGATGCCTGCGAGCTAGACCTGCACTGAAGCACTCTTGTGCCCCAGCCAGCCTCTCCGCAGCACAGTGAGCTGGGTCAGAGCAGCCCAAGCTGATCCCCTGGGCCCACTGCCAGCCACAGCTCAGCATGCTATTCCTGGGCTCACATGTAAACACGGCACGTAGGAGCAATAAACTCTGGAGCAAACTGTACCAGAGATATTTCAGGCACATTAATTTAATGTATAGATGCACTCTGTCTGTAGTGTGTGTCTGTCTGCCTATAGTGGGGGGTGCTTTAATATTTTCTAGGATGCACTTGGTTTGGATTTTTAAATCTTCTCTTATTTTTATACCATTCTTATTACAACCATAGCCAACTATTTATACTACTACATAGTCAAAATGGTAGAGCATTTCTTGATATTCTTAACTGTAAGAAAGGAAACTTTTTCCCTAATACAGAGCTATTAAATAATTTCTCATTCCCCCCCCGCCCATCTACCCACAGACACATATGCACACATCCACTTTTAATATTCTTGTAAGCAAGTCCAGGACTAAAAAAAAAAAAACGGAGGCTGAGCTAACATCTCACCCCTAGCAGCAGCCTCTGCGGGTCACATTGAGATGCACTGTTGGAGAAATGTGAGAAGTTTGCATTGCTGATGCCCATGCTGTGTCTATTCTGTGGATAAATAGGCTGTCAGATTCCAGAGCTGTCAATCTGGCACTTTAAACAAGTACTTTATCCTTTTTATCTCACTTTTTAAAGATTTTCTATTAAGCATAAGAGAAAATATGAGTAAAACAATTCTACACACTAGGAA